GGGCCGGGGGAACACAAAGCCTCTACTTTCATCTTCCTGTGCTGCAAAAAACATACTCCCAGATAAAAAGCAAAGGGGTATGTGCCCCTCATCCACCACTCTGGGCATCTCCCTCATTACATGCACTTAAATGTTAGAAGTTGGGGCCAGAGTGACACTAAAAGGAGTCTCTGCAGCCTGCAACAGCAAATCTGCGGGTGCGACCCCCCTCCTTCCCTCCTGCCAGCGGGAAGCTGAGGTCTCGCGCATCACAACGCACATTTCTGCAAGCCCCTGCAGAGCTTTCGCTTTCCAGCGGTCTCCCTCCTGCACAGTGTCATTTCAGAAGCGTGCGGGGGTTTGTGCGTGCACGCGTGTGCGCGCAGAGGAAAGGGTATAATGAGCTGTAGGGGCTTCGGCAAGGGGACTGCAGCAGTAGGACAGCTGAAATGAAAGGCCTAAATGAAGTCAAAAAATGATTTTAAAAGGTCATCTGTCCCCATACTTTTGTTCTCACTTTAAATTGATGGCTCAGATACTGGAGCTGACTCAGAAGTCAAGTCTGTATGACAAGCCCATCCTGTTCTCTCATGGGATGTAAATCACACCGCAAAACTACAGCAAAAATGCAGCCAGATTCTCCGTTGCCCCGGGGTATACCCAGATTAATGCCTCTGACAGTGGAGCCACTGGAGTAAGAGACAACAAAATATTTGGTCCATTATGCAGAATAATTTGCAGCAGGCAAGATTTCATTCTCACTTGCACTGAGGGTTACCCCACTGTGACTCTGCTGATGACAGTGCTGCTGCTGCTCTGATGAGAGGTAGAGCCTGCCCTCCCAGTTCCAAGATACCCAGCAGGACACATCCCTGGTACACACAGTGAGCATGAGGTTTCTCTCTTGCCTTCCCCAGAGGTAGCTAGGGGTCAGGGAACTATCTGGAAGTGCTTGTTTGACTGTGGAAAACACACTTCATTTCTATCAGGACGCTCATCTTAACCAAGCACAGTTGGTGCCGCCTAAACAAGGAGATTAAATAACAGAGATGCACATGATAAGAGGAGTAAAACAACAAAGCAAAGCACTGGAGAGAGATTTCAGTCCCAAGCCTCTTCTAGGAGAATCAAAAGAGTTAAAATAAACCCAGCAGGGCTACAACTGAAAATTCATGCAAAAACTCCTATGGCCTGGTGTGTCCTTGCATGTCACAGCAGCTGGCATAGCTTGCTAGATAAATACACTTTAGAGGACTGATTAACTTGTCGTCTTGCAGCCCCTTCTCCTGCTGTTCATCAGCAGCTAGAAAAAGAGCTTTCCAGCTGATTATATCATTCACGTCTGGATCAGGGCAAAGGTTCTGAATGTTTAAAATGCTGCGGATGAAGCCGGTAGGATGCAGGCTTCCCTGCAGACCAGTTTTCAGGTGCAGCCACACTGGCAATGGTTTGTTTACTGAAAGCTCTGACTGTAAGACGAGGTACCATGTTTCCAGGGCTACAGAGCACCTCTCCTGCAGGCTGCACACGGAAATCAGCAGGCAGAGCTAAGAAAGGCACAGAGATAAAACAGGAATGTGCCCAAACCAGGTGTAGCATCCATGGACCTGTACCTCTAAATCAGGAGATAAGTGAGGATAGGCACAGTTATCCTTAAAGAAGAATAGGCATGGTTATCCCTGCCAGAGGGCTCTTTGGCAATGGGAGCAGAATTAGACCTTTGGGTGCAGCTCTCCCTAACATACTGGTGAGGCTCCTCGAGACCCATGTCCACGCCCCTAATTAAGGAATTAATCAGGGAACAAGAGGGCGGGCAGACTCAGTGAGATCCGGTTCTTGAATTTGCCCTGGCATCTCCCTGGACACAGTGTGGCAGGGACACTTGGGCTGAGCCAGGAAGACACACCGCTCCCTGCTCTGCTGAATAACTGCTCTGCCCCTGCCTTTCAAGCAGCAGCTACACACAAGTCAAAGGACACAGATTATCTCAAGCAATTTTTGTGTTTGCCAGCCGAGTTGCAGGCTACACAGCGCTCTATCAAGGAAAAAGTCAACCCAGTAACGCAGGACCTTCTTCAGAAATCCTCTCGCAGCCCAGGCTCTTCCTCTAGATTTAATGAGAAACACTCTGCGTACCAGTGGTGAGGGAAAACACGGATGGAGGACTGATCCGTGGTGGTCCCCAGCCGCCCCACAGCCCCTTCCCCAGGTGGCACTCCCAGTGCGGGGGCACAGTGTGAGCACCCACGGCTCATGGCCCTCTGCGCCACGAGGCCCAGTGCCCGCAGCCTGGCATGGCATCGGGCACCCGGCACAGCTCCCCACATCCCAGCACAGGGCACACCCCCCACTGCACAGCTTCAGCGCGTGGGTCCCACACCAGGAGTGACTATCAGTGATGGTTTTTAAGTGCCCTGACCCCATACAGACAGCAAGGGAAAACACCAGATGCGTTCTGAAACCTGGGAAGTCCACAAAGCAGAGGTGGTGCTTCCTCAAACTGCCTGGAATGAGCAGCCCAGACATTCACCGGGAAGCACAACCCACCCAGACCACTTCAGAGGCCAGAGGACAGAGCAGGGGAGGTGCTGCTGGGGGCTGTCACCTCACTGCCACCCAGCAGGAAAGGGCAACGCTTCCCCG